AAAGGACACAAATGACAGAAATGGAGGAAAGCAGACTACTGGATATCGAGTTCAAAACCACACTTTTAAGGTTTTTCAAGAACTTTCTAGAAACCGCAGATAAATTTAGTGAAACCCTCAAGAAATCTAGTGAGACCCTCAAGGTTATTAAAAAGTCCGAACTAGAAATTAAGCATACACTGACTGAAATAAAGAATATTATGAAGACTTCCAACAGCAGACTAGAGGATCACAAGAATAAAGTCAAAGACTTGAAATACGAAGAAGCAAAAATCACCCAACTGGAAAAATAAAAAGAAAAAAGAATGCAAAAATATGAAGATAGCGTAAGGAGCCTCTGAGACAACTTCAAACGTACCAAAATCCGAATTATTGGGGTGCCAGAAGAGAGAGAGCAAGATATTGAAAACCTATTTGAAGAAATACTAACAGAAAACTTCCCCTACGTGGTCAAAGTAATAGTCTTCCAAGTCCAGGAACCGCAGAGAACCCCAAACAAAAGGAATCCAAAGAGGACCACACTAACACATATCATCATTAACACATTGTTTGGAGGTAGTTTTTATCGTCCGCGCTGTACTACCAGTTAACTTAAACGTATAACTAAAACATACAAATGCGTTTCCCGCTTTCAATGCATTAAAATGCCAAGAGCAAAAGACAAAGAGAGAATCTTAAAAGCAGGAAGTGAAAGAAAGTCAGTTACCTACAAGGGAGTACCCATACCGACTGTCAGCTGATTTGATTCCTCAACAGAAACTATGCAGGCCGGAAGCGAGTGGCCAGAAATATTCAAAGGGATGAATACCAAGAACCTGCAACCTAGATTACTTTACTCAGCAAAGCTATCATTAGGAATTGAAGGTCAGACAAAGAGCTTCACAGATAAGAAAAAGCTAAAGGAGTTCATCACCATCAAACCAGTATTATATGAAATGCTGAAAGCTATCCTTTAAGAAGAGGAAGAAGAAGAAAAAGGTAAAGATAAAAATTATGAACAAGAAATACACATCTATCAACAAGTGAATCTAAAAATCAAGTGAATAAGTCATCTGATGAACAGAATAAACTGGTGATTATAATAGAATCAGGGGCATAGTAAGGGAATGGACTGACTATTCTCAGGGGAAAGGGG